TACTGCTGAGAAAAGCGATTACTCAGTTTACTCTTCTTCTTTTGAGCAAACAACGTCTTCTTGACAGTAGTCTGAAAATATACTCATTACAAGTTTCAGGAAAACTCATCATTATGCACTGAGAAGAAACATCTGTTCTTTTTGCAAGAATATTATAAAACTTTGTCGAAGAAAAAGTTATTTCAATTCTATGCAGTAAGCAAGCCGAACTTTTGTTTCAATCGAATATTCTTGATCGAAATGCTGAGTTTAGCAGGATTCGGAATACATTTGGAATATAAATTTGATGTATCTCGTGTGTATACGAAGTTATGATAGATTCGCGAATATATGAACTTACAGAAAACATTTGAAAATACAAAAAAGTAACATTTGCTTGAATGCAGTACGTAGCTTTCTGTGTGCACTCATTTCGCACGCTTTCTTGTACAAGACTTGGGAAAAAATTGGGGCGACAAAAATCGCGAGCGATATAACGAACGCGGATCACCACGGTGACGTGCTCCAAGGTTTTGCCTGTGCAATGCACATGTGCGGCTTGTGCATTATGCGGCCGATACACGCGTCGTGAACTTTTTGCACCGCGACACGTTGCATCGATTAATCACAACGTGCATTGTAGCAACTCCTGTTTCAAAACGGACACGCCTTCCCGCTTGACGAATGTTTATGCACTTTGTCAGCGTCTAATGACGTTAATTAGCTTGATTAATTGCCCATCCTCAATTAAGATTTCTCACTTCTCTCTCGCTGCCTTTCTCTCCTTCCCCCCCCCCTTTCTCTCTCTCTCTCTCTCTCTCTCTCTCTAATATAAATCGCGTAACGATACGCCGACGTGTCCACGCGCGTAACGCTCGCGTTACTTCCTTCCTGGACCGAATCCATGCGGCGAGGTCCATAGAAATTCAATCCTTGATACATTTCATTCGCATCGTGGAGAACGAGAGAAACGCGGCATTCATTGTCACCGCCATTGTCGGCAACGAGATGAAACTCTTGCCTTTTCATCGGTCGAGAAATCGCGTATTTCATATATCTGTCTTGGCGGATTTCGCGGAATAATGTCGACGTTACGGGGAGTCGGTGCCAATTTCGCGTCATTACAGAGAGCGGGAGAGCAGGAGACCGTAAAATTCGCATTTTTCTATTCATCTCTGAAAAACCCCGCTTTGAGCCGGATTCGGCTGATCGATTGTTACGTCATGTCGACAGTTTGCAAAACAAAATATGTTGCGCGAGAGGCAACTAATTGAATATCAAAATTTCCATTACGGAGAACAAAACGGTATAGATCTGGCCTACATAGTGTCGTTTGCTGTAAGCTGTAAGAATTGCCCAATCATAGCCGATTATTCTTATAATATTCGACTGTGACTGGTCAGTTTTTATGGTTTACGACACCTATTCTAGATACTAGACCAGACCTATTGTAGACCTTATAGATCGATATTCATAGTCGGATTTTATATTTAAAACCGTTTTAAGTTCATCTTCATATAGCTTCTATAGCCAATGAAATGATCCGTACAGCATCTGAAAATAAACTTAAGATGGCCTTAAATATAAGATCTAACTATGAATACCGGTTATAGAGATGCTGACAAAAACGTCTCGACACTGTAATCCACGCTGCCGCATTGTTCGTAATAAAGAAATCGATTATCGTCGATTCGTTACAGCGTTGAATTATATAACCGATAAAAAAGAACTTTGACGTCTAGAAAAAAAGAGAGAAAGAGAGAGAGAGAGAATGGGGAAAAACATACATATATATATATATATATATATATATATATATATATATATATGTGTGTGTGTGTGTAAATCGTCGAGGTAACGCCTGGTTGATATTAACGACGATATTTCAGAATCCTACGACGCGACAGAAATTAATTCGCAATATCGCTCGTAATTTTGTTCACATTTACTGAGGCTGACATCGGCGACTGATGAGCGTCGCGCTATGCCGTAAGTTTTTAGTCTCTGTCACGACACGCAATTACGTTGCTCCAATGAGCCGGCGGTGACAAAACGCGTCCGTGTTACTCATACGTAAAGAGTGTCGACGGAAGCGGAAGTCCGCCGAGGAAAGGCGTGACTACGGGAAAAGCGTCGGGTCATACTACCGTCGCCTCGATCGCGCAAAGGTCCTCACCGTAAGATTCCACACGCTGAAAAAGAAGTCTTGTAATAGTTAATAAATGCATTCGGTTGAGCGTTTCAATATTTACTGCAATATCTTCGTAATTAATATCAAACATGATAATAATTACCACATACAGACACAATCGTCTCTGGTAACAAACACAAAATAATTAATAAAACAAATTCTGCATTTAGCTTAACTAATTATAAATGAAAAACTCAAATAATTTGATAATAATTAATAAATAGAGTTTGACTATTATCGAAATAATTGGTCACATACACACACACACACACACACACACACACACACACACACACACACACACACACATACACACATACACACACACATAGAAACACACATTTCGTATACTTATCACATAATGTGGTAAGTATTATTAAACAATACGGTTTTATTTACTCAGTTGTTTGATGACACCACATAAATTTGTACATCGAGAAGAAATATTTGAATAATTATTTGTAGGATATAAAGTTTATTTCTGTGAATAAACTTTATCAATAAATAAATAAATTTAACTTTATTAACCTATAAATAAATTTTCAAGTATTTTTTTTTCTTAGAGTAATAGTCATCAAATCCTGGCAAAAAATGTAAAGCTTTGCTAAAGTTATTTATTAATACTTGCAAAATTATCTGATCATCTATTCTAAATTTTTTTAATTTCGTGTGCAGTTTAATTCTCTCGCTAATAAAAACGAAATGTTCGTATAAACACAAGAATAGCAAGTATTGCGAATAAAAGTGTACTTTTTACTATGAAAACTTTTTCTCTATTTTTTTACATAATCTCCTCTTGATGGAATGCACTTGGTGGGATACAGCGATGCTAACATGTTCTATCATATGATACGCATGACATAACTTTGCATATTATAATTTTCATTAGCTTTACCGTCTTTGAGTGCGTGCAACTTTACATCCTGCCTTCGTGCATCCGACAAATACACTTTCTGAAGACGTGAAGCTCCACGAGCCACGTCGGCGAGCGTTATTGCATGCGGCTATCGGGGTGATTCTCTCTCGATCGATTTCGCAACGCAGTCTCCGCATAATCGCACAAAAATTATAGAAGTTACATGCGGCGAAATGTCCATACGCGATACGACTGCGGCCCAAGTGCGCTGTAACGAACTTTAATCGATTTAGCAAACAATAGGAAAAGCGCGTCTGCGCAAAGCCACATCCCATTTTTTTCATTCGACCTCGCGTCGGTGCGCGAGCAATTGTTTTTAGGCAAAAAAAATGTTTACACCCACCACCGACTCGCGCGCTTCTCGACTTTTTTTTCGACAAAGCCCTACGCCTCGATTTATTCTCGTTTTACGCCGTGGGGCGGAACGAAGTGCACATAACGAATAACGAATTCAATTAACATGACTGTCTATGGGCATATGAAGTTTGTTCCCGGCCGCGTATAACGACGAGCGCTCGTTTCGCGAAACTTTGCGACAGCATTGTGGCCGCGAGAGGACGATGCTTTCCCGTCGACTCGACGCAAGTGACCGTTTGCAGTTATTACTTATCATCTTTTCAGCGGAAACTCTTATGATTGATCTTCCCCTATTTTCCCGTCGTTACTTCTGCCTCTCTCACAACTCGCCGGATCTTCTTACCGGCACAGTTGAAAATTTTTTTGGCCACGGTTGACCGTCACTTCCTCACGACATATGTGAAAAACTTTCAATGTGCGACAGATGAGACGCTCCGGAATCTCAATTCTAATCAATTCTTTTTAATAATACTCGCGATTGTTCTCACGTTAGACGTCGACATTAAGCGTGTAATAACTGTTGAACTATCTCGCTACTCTTGTGCATCGAGTTTAGCTGTGAGCAGTAAACTTTTAAACAGTTCCAAATTTCCACTCGGAGACGCACGCATGGTAAGCATTACCGAGCGGATAGGTGAGATTGTATCAAACGTCCAACTCATTTTGCGGATAAATATTTGCCGTTGTGCTGTTTGTTGGTATCGAGTGAGCTTACGCGTCAACATTGAAATAGATATGTGACCATATGAACTCGGTGCTTATAGACATGCAAGGTATTTCAGAGAATTACACAGGTCAAGATTATAGATTATAATTATAGATTATAATTATAGATTATAGATTATAATTACAGATGACTTAATTAATTGATAAAAACTCGACAATTCAGGAGTGATGGTTTCACGAAATAGATTATTAGTTTCATTTCCACAAATATAGAAATCATCGATCGATCAATTTTCCCTCATTAATATTCCAATAATTACCGTAGTAGACTTTATACCAAATGGTACAGGATTTCTCTAACAGGTTCACGCGAACACCTAAATACAGACGTGTAATTAATGGATACGTAAAACGACAAATTTTATATCTTACTAATATATTTTATTACACGTTTCTTATATAATAAAATATTTTATATATTTTTTTTATTTTATATTTGTTGTTTTCATTGACGTTGGAAATATATATAGAATATCTGACACAAAACGCGCACCAACGCTCGCGTGCGAGTAGAGCTCATGAAAATGAAGAAAACGAGTCTTTTACTGTTTCGCAGATAACCACGACAATTATTCCTTCATTTCGACCCGCAATAACTGTTCTATAAAACTCGTGCCGTCGTGTCTCGCGCATCGATTGACCAAATTTCTCTCGTAAGTGTGTCCCGACAATTACCGTAGTTTACAAAATCGGGACAAAGGACCTTTTTTCTACTCAGTTTAACGCGTTCTACCTGCACACGAGCGGTCGGACACTTAAACCCAGACACCCCGTGTATCGTGACCTCTCCATTACATTTACGTGAATTAATGGACTGTTTCGTTTTTCCAGGATGAAAAGAACCAAATACTCACAACCAACGCGTGGCTGAAACTGGTGAGTGTAACAAACGTCCTTCTTTACTATTTTCTGCCGACTAATTCCTCGAAAGAGAAGTTTTTCAAGTAATTTATATCAATGCTAAGTCCTGCGCTGCGCACAGTTTTAAGAATTTCCGAGACAAAGGCGACTACGGGCGCGTACTAAATCTCCAGAGGGCCACACAATCCTGCAAATTATAACGACGACAGCCGGCCGGCCGACGCGTGCGACGAAATTTTAGTTTTCTGCGTGTAAAACGTAAAATCGTTCGTTTAATTCTCACTGCGCGAGCATTCTTTGGCAAAAATGTGTTCTGCGCGCTCGACAAAAATATACGATAATGGATGATATCCATTACCGACGTTTGTGCGTGTGTCTGTGTATGGTGCTTGCGTGGGCGTGTCCGTGTATATATGTGCGTATATATATATGTATACGTGTGGTTCACTCTTAATGGACGCCGGGCAATAAATATAAGAATTAAACTTAGGTTGCAACGTGCGAACTTCTAAACTCTCAGCGAACGTACGTTTTCCCGTGCGCGAGTGAACGTATGCGATACCGCATAAACGGACGCGCGTGCACCTTTATGCATCCTCACATCCGCGCTGCGTTGCAGCAAATGACACGTTAAAAACGCGCTCGCGGTAATACGGCGAAAGCCGGCTAACAGAAAATCAATAGCTGCACCGGTTACTTTTCCATCGCCTGCGGTCTTTCCATTTGCGAGAATGCGTTGTAATATCGCCGATAAAAAATACACCTGCCGTTACGGCGCGCATATCGCGCGCGGAGCGAGACTCGCGAGAAACGCGGACAAAAAATGTCGAGGCAAATTCGGCCATTATATCCGGTAATGCTTGACAATTGCGTCTCCCAACGTGCGCGATTCATTGCGCGAGAGATTAGGAAAAGCTTCTGTTTTTCCAGCGAAAAATTTTTGACGAAGATCCCCGCGCGTTATTAATCGACCGGCTTCCACAATCTCGCGCGGAATTATTTTATTCCGCGCTGTTTTTGTTTTTCTGGTGTTTGTTGCGCCGCGACGCGGCGCTTCAAACTAGCGCGGCTTGACTCAGGATGACCTCTCACCGGCGTTAATATTCAGCTTTCAATTAACGCGCCGAACTTTATTCTGCCGGACGCGGTCGCGGCAGTTAACATCGTATTTGTAACGGCCACGAGCGCACTCGCGAAAATTTGCCGCGCCGAAAATACGACGAAATCCGTCGGAATTGGATCTGCCCGGGTCGCGCGAAAGCGGCTCGTGCGTGACAGAACCGTTTACGGATTGTCCCCCGCTATATATTACCGGTCGGATCGGATCGGGCGAGCAATCAGCAAATCAGGAGTGCGAGAATGCGGTTGCTGCTGCTATTGTCGTTTCGTCGTTCTCGTCGTCGTATTCTTCTATGCACGGGGGAAAGTGCATATCGTGGGCGAGCAGCATCCGCGTCAGACAACATCCGCTTCTTCTTCACCCCCATGAGAAGGTGCTCTCTCCGTGTTTCCTCCGGGTGCGAAAAAGGTAAAGACGCGGCGGTGAGAACGCGAGAGTGAGTAGACGGGTGAGAAAAGAGGAAGAGGAGGCGGTAGTTAGATGCCAGGTAGGTAGGTTGGTAGGTAGATGGGTAAGTAGGTTGGCACTATAGAGAGGTGTTCGAGAAAATCGAGAAAGCAGAACGATGCACTTCGAGCCCGCAAGCCGCCCGTCGCTATTTCTTCTCCCGTTCCTCTTCCTTCGCCTCCTCCTCCTTTTTCTGCCTCCTTCCCATGATCCCCACTGTTCTCGAGGCGAAAAGAACGTTCGAATGTTCGTCTTTGTCTTGATATATCATCGATCGCTGTGAGAACCGGGAATGCGCATCATGTTCCTCGTGTTTATCGCTTCAGGCGGTTTTTGGAAAGTCAAAATTTGATGGATTCGTCGTGTCCAGGATTGTTTCAATGCTAACGAAATCCTACGGATCCCGCTTCTTCCGTCCTGTCGATCGTTGCTCTTTTTGTGCGTTCGCCATTGTTGATACATTAAACTAAATGATCTTTCATACGGTTAGCGCGCGGTGATCAATTATTCACCGTGTTTGCGAGAAACTACGTAATCCGGCCGGGTTTTTTCGCCGTGAGCTCTTCGCAGTCGAGTTCATGAAAAAGCTGCTACACAAACTGGCTGTAACTTACTTGAAATTTCAAGGTGTCATCCCTCTCATGTAGAGTCCCTTTGCTTTCTCTCTCTCCGCGGTCGTTTCGCTCTTGTCTCGTTCGTACATCACGTAGTGTCGATATCATCCCCCGCGTTTACAATGACTTTATTTTGTCTTTGAGGAATTGATTTCTCATCGTAGAACAGTCCCGTCTCGTTCGTCTCTTGTTTTCACCTTGAGGCATGTCCTTTCGTTCTCTGTTTCTTTTCTTTTTTTCTCTTCGTTCTCTCCTTTCTGCTTCCCTTGTCTGTCCGCAGCCTCCGATTGTATCCTCCCTTGCTGCGACGCTCCCCTTTGTGCTCGACTCGCTCTGCCAGTCGCTGCGCTGCAAAAAGCCACGGACAGCTGCGAAATCCTTTCCGGTAATATCGAGCCAAAGGAGAGTACGCGCTCGTAAAGGACCCTTCGTCATCGATTCATTAGCGCGGCGTTCTCTCGTTCTCGTCGAATTTCGCGAGCAGCTCGCCCGCCAGATTTCGACTTTGGCAGCATTCACTGGCAGTTGTATTCTCCCGCACGTGGAGCGTATCACAGTGACATCAGTCCCGATTGAATCATCGATTATAAAAGAACATGCAACTTCCGCGAGTAGTATTTATTAAAAAAAAAGAGAGAAAAAAATAGCTAGTCCTAAAGTGACATTGTTAAAGTTTAAGTCGAAATAGATGATCGGTATCCTCATTCCGTCAGAGTTAAGACGGAGCGCCACTTACCGCGGAAACTGCCTTTAAGATAGTCAATCAAAACTTTCAAGTTCACTAAGCTAAAATGGAATTTTAGAGCAGTACTTGGCGGCGGCCTCGCATGCATTACAACGGCACGTTTAACGTATTTAACGGCTCGCGCAATGACGGACGTTATCTCGCCATTACCACGTGAACACGAGCATGTACACGTGTACAACGACGGCGTCCCTTATTTATTCCGGGAAATGACTGAGGCGCGACGTGATTTCTGCGTCGGGGAGAGGTGGTCATCCGCGTCCATCGCAAGTCGCCAGCGGCATCATCGCGGCCGCGTCGGATACGCGCGGATCAGCGCGAGAACACAACGACGGTCCCTGCAAGGGGGAGAGCAGAACTCTTACAAAATTTGTTATTTATCAAGCCGGCTCTTTCGGTCCGTTGAATAATTCACTGACAGATAGCCGATACGCAGCTGCGGTTTTGAGGACGGGTTAATAATATAATGCACTTTGCTCGCGCGAATTCATATCGGCGCGGCGTGCAGATCGAGGTAATATTAATCGACGTGCCGAATCCATGCGACAGGCGAATATATCGAGCGCGCGGCTATCTTTTAGGCCGCATTCGTCGTTTAATAAGGCTCTAATATCGGTTTACACGTCATTATGTTAGATCGACTTGATTTCAGGCTCAATTAGAAAGTCGTTTAATATTTCATCTTGAACATCACAAACGTCTCTCTTCCTCTCCCTCCTTGTTGCTTCTCTCTGTCTTTCTCTTTTTCTTCTCTCGGGAGAATCCCCCCCCCCCC